GAACACCTCACACTGTTCTGCTCCTACGAACACCAAGAACGGTGATTTTTAAAGGGCAGTCAGGAGAATGTGATGTCAGATGTCATCAGTCAGGAATTCTCTCATTAGCTGGGTCTCCACAGGAAGACAACGCCCCGTGATGATTCGCAAAGTTCATGCATGTTAATCAACAGACACACAAACAGACACGCCGTTGTCTCCAAGTGTGGTCGAAAGCCCAAAACAATCTGTCGTTTTTTCTTTTTTGCAGTTTTGCATTTTCATTCATTCATCTTCTACCAGGGAGTGAAGTGGAGAGAATCTCAGCTAGGTTTTGTTTTTTTGCTTTTTAACCCATCATACTGTTCACTACGGAGGCCTATCTCGAGACTCAACTGTACAGCAGGAAAGTACTTGGCAGAAGTCGCAGAGACTACTTTAGACTTTCTAATATTTTTTGGCTGTGTTTGGACAGAAGTTAAGGATTTGGTGTTTCTCCTTTCATCTCCTCGTTCCCACTCTTACACGGTCGTTGCTGATCATCTCTCACAGCCGTATTTGATCCCTGTCACCGTAAGACCCTGCTTTCCCCAGACTTTAATACAATAACCTCTGAAAATATTCTCCCTTCCAAGAGCTTAATTTAATTCAAGCAACGTCAGAAGTTCGGACATTGGGATTGAAAAATGGCTCTGCCAAGCCTTTGGTGCTCCGACGCATGTTTTTCCTGTGCTGCGCTTCACCTCTAACTCCTCATTCCATTCATGCCAGAGAGAGTTCTGTGCACTCTGTAGAAACCGTAACAATCTTCGTCGACTGCAACAATGTCAAACATCGTGGCAGTGATGGAGGGGAAATCAGAAAGGCGTAGTTCTGCAGGGATGGGGGCAGGTGATGGCAGACTGGTCACAGGTTAGCAGGCAGTACGCTGGTCTATAAAAATGTATGACCCTGCTGTGAACTAATGTAGGAGCCACTGTGGTGGGGGCTGCTTTCAAATGGAACTGTGCAGTGTGGAACCGGGAGAACATGCTGCTACTAAAGAGCAACGTATTTCTGGAGAAGTTAGGAAACCTGAGTCATACACTACGTGTAAGATTGAATTTATTTTCTATTTGAAAAATCTTGCAATAAAACATACTTTATTCATTCATTTTAGCTTAAATTTAGAGACGTCCCCTCCCCTCCTGCAAACCCACAGACAATGCTACAAAATGTAAAATACAACATTTAAACATAAACATCTCTCCTGTGGTGGAAGCTAACAGTGAAGGCCTACGCTGCTATATTCTAATGTTGGTCATCATGGTGGTACTCAGAGAGATCAATGTTTTCTCAGGTGGTACAGAGTAGAAAAAGTTGGAGAACCATTGGTCTAAGGAGTCCAGCATGTTAAAAGAGATGTGCAGAATATCATTTTAAGTTAAAAAAACAAATGTTGAAGCCATCTTCTCCATCTTCTCATCAGATTCACCACAATCCCACAATTAAAATTTGGGCTATAAAGATAGAAGGTGTGAGATATCAGTCACTGTTTTCAGTTCAAATGAATCTTGTAAATGCAGTCCTTGTTAAAAGGAGCAGGAAGAAAGCTGGAAGTGTGTTAATGCCTGAGGGCAACAGGCCTGGGGTGAAAAAACAACAGAATCAAAGCTGCTTTGAAGGAGCTGAAGGAGGAGAAGGAGCAGGAGAACAACCACTATGGATTTTTAGGACTTTTCTTTTTCTTTTGGGAGAGGCAGCAGTTTCACCACGGAGACCAGCACACACTGCAATTTCTAGGATTTCCAAGTCATGGAAACCCTGCAGGTTCAAAACACCTCCCGTGGTTGCTGGTTTAAAAACAGCACAATATTCCTTCTTTTATTTGCCTCTTTGGAGCTGGAGAGTTATTTCAGGAATTATCTAACAAATGAAAGTCTATGTTTATGAATTCATTTTTGCATAAAGAGTTATTTCAATTAACATTTCAAATAAATAGAATAGATGGGTTTTGGTGAGTTGTCCAACTGCAGGTTTCATCTAAGATCAGACAGATTTCCATATGGTTTCCATTGGTGTCCACTAACTACTGCACCGCTCCAACGGACTCACAGTGGTGACATTCTAGCTACAGTCCCACAGGAGTTAAGCTGAATAAATGAAGCAGCAGCGGCGGCTGCAGCAGCAGCAGCGGCAGTAATGGCCTGATTTTTCCTGTTATCTGGAGGAAAACAGTGCTTGACATTTTCTGATGAATATATATGTCTCTTTTTTCCATAACATACATCACAGCTGTGTGGGCGGCTTGACATTTATTTTTGTACCACTGTGTTTGACATTTATGTTTGAGAATCTGCAGGTTAATTCATGAACAAATTAACTCCTTATTAGGAACTGTCTTCCTACTGATTAATGAAGGAGTATTACTGGGCTCTCATTCCTCCCTGTCGTTATCTTCTCCAGGTATCGTGTCGCTGATTTCCCTGGTCATCCTCTCTTACGACCGCTACAGTACTCTCACTGTATACAACAAGCGTGGACCGAGCTATCGCAAACCGCTGCTGGCTGTCAGCGGTTCTTGGCTGTACTCCTTGCTCTGGACAGTGCCCCCCCTGGTGGGCTGGAGCAGCTATGGCATTGAAGGGGCAGGAACGAGCTGCTCCGTGTCCTGGACTGTCAGAACGGCGGAGTCGCATGCCTACATCATCTGTCTCTTCATTTTCTGCCTGGGTTTACCGATTCTGGTGATGATCTACTGCTACGGAAGGCTGCTGTGGGCGGTCAAACAGGTAAAGAGAGAGAATTATTGTGAAAATGGTTTGAATTATGCCTGGTGTTCAGGAAGGAAAATATTCCATTAGATCAGTGTTTGCCAAACCTTTTTTTTCTGGGGACCCATATTTTAACCCAAGACATTATTCGTAGACTTCTGAGAAACATGATGCGACCCAAAAAATGGCATCAGTGACATTTACTCCAGAGCTGTTATTAAGTTTGATTTTAAAACATTCTTGTGTAAATACGTCAGCAGTTAATAACAGGTTTGGATGACACTGAGTGACGTCCAGTCAGTCAGAACACCAGGATAAAGTACGAGTACAAAGACAGTACTTGTATTTTTATTTTACTTAGATCAGACATGGGCAAACTAAGGCCCGGGGGCCGGAGGCGGTCCGTTCAGCTTTTTAACCTGGCCCGCCAAACTTTTCCAAATTATATCATTTATTTATATTATCATTATACAATTTCAGGACAATTGTTGCCCACGAGTCAAAGGTTTGCCCACGCCTGTCTTAGATCATTACTTATTAACCTAATTATTGATTGTGAATGCAATCAATCGGATGAAAAGGTAAAAGACATCCACCTGATGTCACAGGTGAGCTGTTGGAGATGTTGAACTTCTCCTGAACTCGTGTGAAGGCCAAAAACGATTGCGTGTAATCAACTGGAACTAACAGCTAGCCTGTCAGATTAGCACCTGACGTCCCAGCTCTGGTATAGAACTGCCTCCATTATAATATCTCACATTCAGTTCACCGCTCCCAACCAGATGGCAAATTAGCTTGTTTCCCATGCTGCCCACAATTGCATTGACTTTATAATCTTCATCATTACCAAGGCTGAGCAGCTGCAGCAGTGTTGCTCCTGTGAGGCTTTTACTGAGGTACGACTTTACTCTAAAACCTGTGAAATCCAAACAGAGGCTAAGCAGGGCAGTGAGAGTCAGTCAAACACGCTGCTGGTTCTTATCCCTTTAAGCCACTGTTTTCCAAACATTTTGTAGGTGTCGGGTCAAAGACTTACGTAAAAGAAAACGGTGGTCACCTGAGGGTCAAGAACAACGGAGGAGCCTGGATCAGAGAGCTCTCAGTTTGAACAACGTCAGCTTATTAATAAGAAGCTTTAAGTCACATTAGCTAAGTAGGCTTAATTGAATTTTCATTATCTTTAGTTCGTGCTCATAACCATTACACTCCAGTTTTATTTTAACTTAATAAAAATCCCATTCTGGATCAGGAAAAAGTTACTCGGGAAATGTATTTATTTTTTCTTCAAACAAGAGGTCAAGTGATATAAGGCTGAGAGGAAATGAACTGGACATTGACGACATCAGTGACTGTGGAACTAGTTAACATAGAATGTGATGTTATTATGTGTTGGTGGACAAACAAAGAAGAAAGGATTTTTTTTTTTAGTTTTTTGTGACGATTATAAAGTCCTAAATATGTGAAAAGCTTTGGCAGAAAGCAGACTGTGTCACTTTGGATTCTTCACTCCATTACTGAGACAGATTTGTGCGTTCCTGCGGCGATATCTCCGCACAATTTGGTCGAGACAATTTAGTCTCATACTCCAACGGTTCTCACCTTCATTACTTTTTTTGTCCAGGTTCGTCCTAATCCACAGCGACGATGTTTGACTCCGCTGATGAAAAACAGATCCCTGCGCAGTTTCACAAAAGTGTTCTGCATTTTTTCACTGCAGTCATAGTTTCTACTCTCTCTCTCTCTCTCTCTCTCTCTTTATATATATAAAATAATTTTAGGCATGTTGTTGTGAATACATTTGCACGAAAAAGAATCTTCTTCGGCACGACGCCCGACAGCGAGTCTATGCAAATTAACTGGGGCAGATAAATATAGTTTTCAGAAAGACATAAGCAACTGCAGGCGGGGGCAGCAGACTACGGGCTCCGGGCAACAAGGGGTCCCACAGATGTTGATGCAACACCCAAGAAAAACTGTTGCAGTATTGGTGAGTAGGAAATGCTGCGAGCAGAGGCAGATGGACTGTGATCTTCTTCCCCCAGGCTGCGTGTAAATGTTAAATCTGCCATGTGTTTTGCACCTGTTTAAGTCTATGGGTTGTTTTTAATCTGAAGAGTTTTTAGTGTGTGTTAATGTTGCAGTTATTCTCAGTGTCAAACCTGAGCACCGTTGAACCCTGAC